CAGAAACTTCTCAGTTTCAGGAGATCCCATTTATTAATTGTCGATCTCAGTGTCTGTACTACTGGTGTTATATTCAGGAAGCAGTCTCCTGAACGCATTGCATTCAAGGGTACCTCCCACTTTCTCTTCTAAGAGGTTTGGTGTGGCTGGATTTATTTTGAGATCTTTGATCCATTTGGACTTAAGTTTTGTGCATTGTGATAGATATGGATCTATCTGCAATCTTCTATACACCAGCATCCAGTTATACCAGCACAATTTGCCAAAGATGCTTCCTTTTTTCCATTGTATAATTTTAGTTCTTTGTCAAAAATGAGGTGTTCATAAGTGTGTGCATTAATATCAGGGCTTTCAATTTGATTCCATTGGTCGACCTGTCTATTTTTATGCTAATACCAAGCTGATTTCTGGATAATAGCTCTGTAATAGAGCTTGAAGTCAGGGATGGTGATGTCTCTGGACATTGCTTTGTTGAACAGGGTTGTTTTGGCTATCCTGGGTCTTTTGTTTTTCCATATAAAATTGAGTATTATTGTTTCAAGGTCTGTGAAGAACCGTGCTGGTATTTTGATGGGGATTGCATTGAATCTGTAGATTGCTTTTGGCAAGATTGCCATTTTTACTATGTTGACCCTACCTATCCAAGAGCATGGGAAAGCTTTCCAATTTCTGGTATCTTCTTTAATTTCTTTCTTTAAAGACTCAAAGTTCTTGCTATACAGGTCTTTCACTTGTTTGGTTAGCATTGCCCCAGAATATTTTATGTTGTTTGTGGCTATTGTAAAGGGTGATGTTCTGATTTCTTTCTCAGCCCCTTTATTGTCTGTATTTATTAGGGCTACTGATTTTTTTGAGTTAATCTTGCATCCTGCCACTTCGCTGAAGGTGTTTTTCAGCTGTAGGAGTTCCCTGGTCAAGTTTTTTGGGTCATTTATGTAAACTATCATATCATCTGCAAATAGTGAAAGTTTGGCTTCTTCCTTTCCAACTTGTATCCTTTTAATCTCCTTGTGCTGTCTTATTGCTCTAGCTAGTGCTTCAAGTACAATATTGAAGAGATATGGAGAGAGTGGACAGCCTTGTCTTGATCCTGATTTTAGAAGAATAACGTTGTGTTTCTGTCCATTTACTTTGATGTTGGCTGTTGCTTTTATTATGATAAGGTATGTTCCTGTTATCCCTGATCTCTCTAAGACTTTTATCATGAAGACGTGCTTGATTTTGTCAAAGGCTTTTCAACATCTAGTGAGATGACCATGTGGTTTTTTCTTTTGCAGTTTGTTAATATGGTCAATTATAAACCATATGAACCATCCCTGCATCCCTGCTGGTATGCAGCCTAGTTGATCATTATGGATGATTTCTCTGATATGCTCTTGGATTTGATTTGCCAATATTTTATTGAGTATTTTGCATCAATATTCATGAAGGATATTGGTCTGTAGTTCTCTTTCTTAGCTGTGTCTTTGTGTGGCTTGGGTAGCCTTGTAAAAAGAGTTTGGCAATGAACCTTCTGCTTCTATGTGTGGAACAATTTGAGCAGTATTGGTACCAGCTCTTCTTTGAATTCCTGGCAGAATTCTGCAGTGAAACCTTCTGGCCCTGGGCCTTTTTTGGTTGGGAGAATTTTGATGACTGCTTCTATTTCATTAGGGGTTATAGGTCTGTTTAAATTGCCTATGTTCTTGACTTTATTTTGGTAAGTGATACCTATTGAGAACATTGTCCATTTCCTTTAAATTTTCAAATTTTTTGGAGTACATGTTTTCAAAGTATGACCTGAAGATTCTCTGGATTTCCTCGGTGTCTTTTGTTACATCTCCGTTTTCATTTCTGATTTTGTTAATTTGCATGTTTTCTCTTGGTCTTTTGGGTTAGTTTGGATAAAAGTTTGTCTATCTTGCTGAATTTCTCATAGAACCAATTCTTGTTTTTGTTGAGTCTTTGTATTGTTTTCTTTGTTTCTACTTTATTGATTTTAACCCTCACTTTGATTACTTCCTGGCATATACTCTTCCAGGGTGAGTTTGCTTCTTTTTGTTCTAGAAATTCAGTTGTGCTATTAATTCTCTAGTGTGACTATTCTCTAATTTATTCGTGTGGGTACTTAATGCTATGAACTTTCCTCTTAGTATTGCTTTCAAAGTGTCCCACAAGTTTAAGTATGTTGTGTCTTCATTTTTATTTAATTCTAGGAAGTTTTTAATATCTTTCTTATTTCTTTTTTGACCTGGAAATGGTGCAATTGCGCATTGGTCAATTTCCATGAGGTTGTGGGATTTTTACAATTTTTTTTGTTGTTGAATTGTAATTTTAAAGCATGGTGATCTGATAAGGTACATGGAACTATTGCAATTTTTTTGTATCTGTTGAAGTTTGATATGTGTTCGATTTTAGAGAAGGTTCCATGTGGCGCTGAGAAGAAGGTATATTCTTTTGTGTTTGGATGAAATGTTCTATAGATGCCTGTTAAACGCAATTGTGTCATAACTTTTGTTAGTTCTTCTGGTTTGTTTTTGTTAAGTTTTGTCTGGTGGTCCTGTCTAGTGGTGAGAGTGGGGTCTTGAAGTCCTCCACTATAAATGTGTGAGGTTTATGTGTGATTTGAGTTTTAGTAATGTTTCTTTTATGAATGTGGGTGCTTTTGTATTTAGGGCATAGATGTTCCGAATAGAGACTTCATTCTGATGGATTTTTCCTGTAATGAATATGAAATAACTTTCTTCATCTTTTTTGACTGATTTTAGTTTGAAGTCTAATCTGTCAGATATTAGGATAGCTATACCAGCTTTTTTCTTGGATCCATTTGATTGGAAATTCTCATCCCAACCCTTTACACTAAGGTAACATCTGTCTTTGAAGTTGAGGTGTGTTTCTTGTAAGCAGCAAAAGGATGGATTATGTTTTCGTGTTCATTCTGTTAGCCTGTGTCTTTTTATATTCAAGTTAAGACCATTAATATTGAGGGAAATTAAGGACCATTGAGTGTTAATTCTTGTTTGTTTTGGATTTGGTGGTGGTGGTGGTATTATGTGTGGATTTACCCTGCTTTTTCTTTTGGCTTTTGGTAAAGTGGGATTATCTATTCCCTATGCTTTTGTGAGTGCAGTTAACTTCCTTAGGTTGGAGTTTTCCTTCCAGATCTTTATGTAAGGCTTGATTAGTGGATATGTATTGTTTAAATCTGGTTTTGTCATGGAATATCTTGTTTTCTCCATCTATAGTGATTGAAAGGTTTGCTGGGTATAATAGTCTCGGCTGACATCCATGGACTCTTAGTGTTTCTAGAATAATTATCCAGGGCCTTCTGGCTTTCAGAATTTCCTTGGAGAAGTCAGGTGTAATTCTGATAGGTTTGCCTTTATATGTTACTTGGCCTTTTTCCTTTGCTGCTCTTAATATTCTTTCTTTATTCTGTATGGTTGGTGTTTTGATTATTATGTGGCAAGGGAACTTTTTATAGTCTACTCTATTTGGTGTTCTGTAAGCTTCTTGTACTTCCATTGTCATGTCTTTCTTTGGGTTGGGAAAGTTTTCTTCTATTATTTTGTTGAATATGCTTTCTGCCCCTTTGAGGTGGGTTTCTTCACCTTCTTCTATACCTATTATTCTTATGTTTGACCTTTTCATGGTGTCCCATATTTCCTGGATATTTTGAGGTAGGGATTTGTTGGATTTAAGATCTTTGGTCGATGAATCTATTTCTCCTAGTGTATCTTCAACACCTGAGATGCTCTCTTCCATCTCTTGTATTGTGTTGGTTATGCTTGCATCTGCAGTTCCTGATCATTTGCCTAGATTTTCTACTTCCAGCATTCCCTCAGTTTGTGTTTTCTTTATTGTCTCTATTTCATTTTTCAGGTCTTGACCTGTTTGAATTGTTTTTTTCATCTGTTTGATTGTTTTTTCTTGGCTTTCCTTAAGCGATTTGTTGATTTCCTGCATTTTTTATTTGTTTTTTTTTCATTTCTTTAAGGGATTTTCTCATATCTTCTTTCAGGGCCTCTATCTTCTTTATGAAGTTGTTTTTAAGGTCACTCTCTTCTGCTTCATCTGTGTTGGGATATTCAGGTCTTGCTGGTGTAGAGTCCCTAAACTCTGGTGCCATCACATTGGTTTTTCTGTTTTTGAATGTGTTTTTATATTGCTGTCTTCCCATCCCTTCTTCCAGTGGGTGAATGTGGGGTCTCTTCCTCTCCTGGTGGGTACTATTAAAGGTTCTGTTCTGGTGGGTGCAAGCAGGTTCAATACTCCAGTGGGTCTCACAATGGGTGCAGGCATGTCTGAGACACTCCCTCTCTTCTCCGCTGAGTTGGGGTGGAACTAGCACAACAATATCAGCACACTATGGATTGCTTCAACCACTGGGGGTGAGTGAACCTTCCTGCCATATCCAGGCCAGGAGATCCCAAAGAGGGCAAGTGGAAGTTCCAAGATGTGTTTCTTCTACTAATGTTTAGCATCTTATAATGAGTATTTCTGGTAGGTTTTTGGAGTAGTTTAGGGTATTCTAAACATGAGAAAGAAGAAACTAATGTATTTGAGGCCTACCCTCTGCTAGGCACGGTTGCAGGCATTTTCCTCCTTATGATCATTAGTAGTACAAGCTATTATTTATGGGACTTAATGTGAACCAGTCTCATCACAACTCCCTGGAATATGCACTGTTGCTATACATATTATCATGTAAGTGAGGGATTTGGAGGTCAAGTCTTTGTACTTCGGCATTCCTATCCTGAATGAGCTCAGGGTGGGGGGGTGGGGGGTTTGGGGGCATGTAGAGCACAAAGGAAATAATATGCAACCATGATAAAAATTATACCAGGAACTGCCAAATTCACCACACTGTAAATACATCTAATTTATTCCTGTCTATAAAAGTAACAGAAAACTGTTAACTGAACACAATTGTTAAGTTGTGTACCTGTTCCTAACTTAGGTACCTAGCCCAAGGCATGTGCTCAGGTCTTCACTGTCTGATGGTGCTGTGTTCTGTGCAGGTGAGATGGAGGAACTGGAGACACTGTGGCTTACAGGCATCTGCCACAATGAGAAGAATGAGGTCATGAGCAGCCAGTTGGACATCGATAACATGGCAGGCGTGTTCTACATGCTGGCTGCGGCTATGGCCCTCAGTCTCATCACCTTCATCTGGGAGCACCTCTTCTACTGGAAGCTCCGCTTCTGCTTCACCGGCGTGTGCTCTGACCGGCCTGGGTTGCTCTTCTCCATCAGCAGGGTCAGTACCCCAAGCAGTTCCTTCCTGGTACAGTAAGCAGGTTCAGAACAACACAGGGGTTTCAGAGAATCAGGCACATATTGCTGAGACATTTTAATATCTACAAGCCATCTATATATTACCTACCTATCTCAATCATGTATTTACTTATAATCAATCTACCATCAACATCATCATCTATGTACCTATCGTTTATCTATGATCTATGTAGCTGTCATTTATCTATTAACTATCTATTCTGTATCAATTATATGTCTATTCATCTTTCTCTATCACCTATGACCTATTAATCAATCATCTATTATCATTTATCAGTCTGTTTGATATCTGTTTATCATCATCTATATATCTTTCATCTATCAATGATTTATCTATCTATTATCTATCTATCTATCTATCTATCTGTCTTCTCTCTATATATATATGTCCATCTATCATATATCAATCTATCATCTATCTGTCAGCTGTCAATCTATCAATCTTATCATACTTATCACCATATATCTGTCATCTATTATCAATCATCTAGTTAGCTATCTTTCTAATATGTATCATATATCTTTCCTTCATTTTATCTACCCGTTTCTTTCATCTTCCCATCTTAGGGGCCAAAAAATTTAGTTTTATATGCTTATTTTTATTGGGAGAAATGAAATAATCAGTTTAAAGTGAGTTTGTATTCTTAGCATTAGGTGATTTTGAGAACTTTGGAGATTCAGAAGGTACACATTAGCTTCACGAGGAGGATTTATTTTCTCCATTCAATTATACTCGACTTGGGTTCTGTGCAAATACATATTTCCTAATTAGCTTGATGGCATCTAAACACACAGATTGCTTAAAAATAACAACGTGCATGCATATAGCTAGGAATTATGCCAACTTTAATTCTCCCAGCCAATTACTAAAGGCTTTTCATATCTAAATGGTTGTGGGATTATGTTACGCAAATGCGCACTGTTGTGTTCGTTGGTAAATCCGGTTTCTTTTTGGAACAGACAGCCAAGCTGGTAGGGTCACCATTATGAGAAATGAACTGAGACCAGCATTCCTATGCAATCATCTTAGGACTGGAAATGGAGAGGACTGGGGAGTTCAGGCGAAGCTTTGTTGGTGGACTTTTAACTTTCCTGCCCTCCAGAGCAGAGGGGGATGCCCAGCCACTGATCCATCCCAAAGGCTTCAGGCAGTCCAGTGGGACAGAGGCTCTCCTCCTGCGATATTGTTTGTCTCCTAATTTGTCTTATTCAGTATGAATAAGTAGGCACCATTATTTGCCTGCCTCCTTTCTTTACTAAGGAAGCACACAGAAAGTTCAGCCCCTGATGCTGATTGATTAAAAAAAAAAGCCTACAGTAGAAGATTTCCAGCAATGGCAAGGTGCAGCTACTTTGTGGATAATGGTCAGAGCCAGATAACATTTTCTCTCTTGTCTCATTGTGAAACCTGATGAGATTAAGTTAATTGCACCCATTCTGTGGATGAGGAAACTGGGGCCCCAAAGTCTGAAATCAGGCTTTTTTGCTTTCATCTTGTATTTCCTTGAAATAGCAGGTATGCTTGCACTTTACCCATCAGGCCATAAGTGGGATACAAAAGAGGCAGTGAGGAGGTAACAACTCCCAAGAAGCAGCACCCATGTCTGTCTTTTGACCTTCATATGCACACGTGTGAATAGTTATGTGACCATGGGCATGAATGTACTTGTGTATACACACACACACACACACACACACACACACACACACACACACACTACCTGCATATGAAGTCGGGTCACATACATTAGTCAAGTCCAGAGCGTGAGCTTCTTACTGAGGACACCAATCTTTGATGCTCTGAAATCTCCCAGGACAGGTGTCTGCTCCACAGAGGATGCATCTCCTCATTGCCAGTTCTTTCAGAATGCTGACCATGCAGCCCACAGTAAAGCAATCATCATACAGTGAACACACTCAGCTCTCCTTGAGGCTCAGTGTTTCTGGAGAGCTACTGGATATGCAATATGGATGCCAACCTGGGACAGATGCTTTCCAGATACTGTCAAGGGAGATATACTAACTCAAATGAGACATTGATTAAACACTAGAACCAAGCATATACAATGGCTGTCCCTTGTAATAATTTTATGATTTGAAAATGATTCTTCCAATCTGTGGGATAGTCTCAATGTTAGTTTTCTCTTCAAAGGGTTCCTCCCCTGACACACATCATTTGGGAAGGGGAAAAGATGCTTGCTATCTCCAGTCAAAACCCACCTTGATAGTTTCTTGAAGTGTGAGCAATAAGAGACTTGTTAAAAACATAAACCATTGGGTGGAGGCTGTGGATGCCTTCCCACTGTGCTCCAAGGTGCAGAGCTTAAACAAAGAAAAAAAGAAGCTTTCTACTAACTGGCCATTAAGACCTAGCCCAGGATGAATGGGACCAAGGGGGCGCTGTAAAGCCCTTGTCCAGCTGAGCAGGTTGACCAGAGGACTATAACCCACCAGATACACTAAGAAGGTATCTCATTTCCATAACCTAAAGAAGGTATTTAGAATCTGTGAGTAATAGAGGGAAAAAGAGAGCACTAACTAACAAAGGGAGTTCTAGCCAGGGTCTCACTGGGCTCCACAGGAGCCAGCTTTACTAACCAGAAGGCAAGAGTGATTTCTGGAACAATCTTTCTAGATCAGTGAGTGGCATGCACTTTTTGTAACTTTTACAGGATGGACATTGTGTGTTCAAGCAGTTTTGAAGGGAGAAAGGAGCAAAGGCTGATCACAGCCGGTCCACTCCACAATTACGTTTTTATTTTCTACTTAACAGCTGGGAAAGTTGAGGCTCACTCACGGGCAATAGCTTACTGAAGGCTGCATCCAGTGTTCTCACACCTATCCTATTATTCTGGAGTGTGTGCTCCACTCCCTAAACAGCCCTTGTGGAAAATGGATCAACTCAGAGAGAGGAAGCTGTTTTGAAAACCCTGAGGCTTAGACAGTCCTATCACATCTCCTTCCTTCCTTGGCTCCAACAGGCAGATCAATCACATCAATTGCTTTCACTGTCTTGTACCTATCCTAGGGCAACCAGGAAGAATAAAAGCCACAGCCTCATCATCCCCACCATCTCTTGCAGCACCTACAGCTCTGCCCATGCTGTAGGCCTCCTCCAAACACAGCCAGCAGTTCAGGATGTCAGGGGGAGCACTGCCAGCAGTTCAGGATGGCAGGGGAGCACTGCCAGCAGTTCAAGGTGGCATGGGAGAACAGCCAGAAGCTCAAGGTGGCAGGGGAGCACATTGCACTGTGGTGACAGGTGTAGAGAAGTCTATAGGTTCTGCTGAGGGAGCATAGGAGTTCATTATAATACAGTTGCAAATTAGAGGGAAAAAGCTGTATATTTAATAATACAACAAGGAGAGGTGACAAAGATCTTATCTGATTCTGACATAGAGAAAACATCAATTGTTTTCACCCATAGGTGCAGAGTCCCTCTATAATACATGTAAGATTATATTATATTTCTAATGGTGGTTGACTAATGTGACAGGTTCTGTGAAATACGTGGCATAATTGTATGATTCCTACAGCCACAGTGAGTGTTCCAGCATTCTTAGCACAAGGGGGAGGAGTGTGATTTGTGGAAAGACCAATAGCCAACTAACTGCTCACAACACAGAGAAGGAGATTAAAGATAATATAGAAGGAATGAAGGAAGGAAAGAAGGGAAAGAGGGAAAAGAGGGAGGGAGGGTGGAAGGAAGGAAGAGAGGGAAGTGAGAAGGGAGAGAGGCCAAGAATGGAAGAAAAGGGGAAAGAAGGGAAGGAAGGTAGGGAAGGACATTGGGAGAGAGGGAAGAACACAAGTGGCAAAAGAATAGATGAAGGGGTGGAAAGGAAAGAGGTCAGGAAGGGCAGGAAAGAAGGAAGAAAGGAAGAAGGTATCTGGGTGAAGTTTTGTGAATCATGTAAGTTTTAGGAGCTTTCTGAGACTTATGAGTTATGTTTCATTTCCTGAGTCTTAATAGACTATTTCAATGCTGAATAAATAGTTACACAGCACTGGTTAATTGCAACTTGTCTTGCCTATTGACATAAGATAATCAGAATTTGGTATGAATTTCATTATGTCTCCATGACTCCCACAAAGAAACCATAGTTCACCTTTGCCAGTAAAGCTCAGATTGGCAAGTGGTTTCATACTAGTAGTGTCTGCTATTGATGTCTGTTTTGTGTTCCTCATTCACAGGGTATCTATAGTTGCATCCATGGTGTACACATTGAAGAAAAGAAGAAGTCTCCAGACTTCAATTTGACTGGTTCACAGAGCAACATGCTAAAGCTTCTTCGGTCAGCCAAGAACATCTCCAACATGTCCAACATGAATTCCTCAAGAATGGACTCACCTAAAAGAGCTTCTGACTTCATCCAAAGAGGGTCACTTATTGTGGACATGGTTTCAGACAAGGGGAATTTAATATACTCAGACAACAGGTCCTTTCAGGGGAAGGACAGCATATTTGGGGACAACATGAATGAACTCCAAACATTTGTGGCCAACAGGCACAAGGATAATCTCAGTAACTATGTATTCCAAGGACAGCATCCTCTCACCCTCAATGAGTCCAACCCTAACACAGTGGAGGTGGCTGTCAGCACTGAATCCAAAGGGAATTCCCGACCACGGCAGCTTTGGAAGAAATCCATGGAGTCTCTACGCCAGGATTCTCTGAACCAGAACCCAGTCTCACAGAGAGATGAGAAGACTGTGGAGAACAGAACCCACTCCCTGAAGAGTCCTAGATATCTTCCAGAAGAGGTAGCCCACTCTGACATTTCAGAAACTTCAAGCCGGGCCACATGCCACAGGGAGCCAGATAACAATAAGAACCACAAGACCAAGGATAACTTCAAAAGGTCAATGGCCTCCAAATATCCCAAGGACTGTAGTGAGGTTGAGCGTACCTATATGAAAACCAAAGCAAGCTCTCCCAGGGATAAGATCTACACCATTGATGGTGAGAAGGAACCCAGTTTCCATTTAGATCCTCCACAGTTTGTTGAGAGCATAGCAATCCCTGAGAATGTGAGCTTCCCAGATACCTACCAAGACCACAACGAGAACTTCCGCAAGGGAGACTCCACGCTGCCCATTAACAGGAACCCACTGCACAATGAAGACGGGCTTCCCAACAATGACCAGTATAAACTCTATGCTAAGCACTTTACCTTGAAAGACAAGGGTTCCCCACATAGTGAGGGCAGTGATCGCTACCGGCAGAACTCCACACATTGCAGAAGCTGCCTTTCAAATCTGCCCACCTACTCAGGCCACTTTACCATGAGGTCTCCTTTCAAGTGTGATGCCTGTCTGCGGATGGGGAACCTCTATGACATTGACGAAGACCAGATGCTTCAGGAGACAGGTAACCCAGCTACTCAGGAGGAGGTCTACCAGCAGGACTGGTCCCAGAACAACGCCCTCCAGTTCCAGAAGAACAAGCTAAGGATTAACCGACAGCACTCCTATGATAACATTCTCGACAAACCCAGGGAGATAGACCTTAGCAGGCCCTCCCGGAGCATAAGCCTCAAGGACAGAGAACGGCTACTGGAGGGTAATTTATATGGGAGCCTGTTCAGTGTCCCTTCAAGCAAACTCTTGGGGAATAAAAGCTCCCTTTTCCCCCAAGGTCTGGAGGACAGCAAGAGAAGCAAGTCTCTCTTGCCAGACCACACCTCTGATAACCCTTTCCTCCACACGTACGGGGATGACCAACGCTTAGCTATTGGGAGATGTCCCTCAGACCCTTATAAACACTCATTGCCATCACAGGCAGCAAATGACAGCTATCTTCGGTCATCCTTGAGGTCCACAGCATCGTATTGCTCCAGGGACAGTCGGGGCCACAGCGATGTGTATATTTCAGAGCATGGTATGCCTTATGCTGCAAATAAGAATAACATGTACTCTACCCCCAGGGTTTTAAATTCCTGCAGCAATAGACGCGTGTACAAGAAAATGCCTAGTATCGAATCTGATGTTTAAATCTTCCACCAGTGTTTATCTATAAGGAAACATATGAAATGGCCAACGTTCTGGAGGGTAAATGTTGGATATCCCATAGCACCCTACTAGGAGGAAGAGGATTTAGGGAGGTACTTTTTTGTTGGCTCTTTTGCACATGGCTCCATGCCATAATCTTTCACTCAAGGAATCTTGTAAGGTATGTGCTGAGCACAGTACATACCACGGATAGGTGAATCCTTAACCAAAAACAAATAAAGAAATATGGGCAGGTCTCCCAGACATGCCGACTGAGTATGGTGGCAATAATGGTGCATTGGATGGCAACAGTGATGTTATGATTGCCTATATTCCAAATTCCATGAAGATCAATCCACCATGTAACTTCCCCATCAGAAATGCCTCACAGTTTCTCTATTACAGAATAAGCAATATGGTATGCATGTAAGTCTGACTCAGACAATAAGACAGTTAAGAATGCATCTGCACTGTAGTAAGATTGACATGTGCAAGGATTAAGAAGTTTGGCTTGTAACAGTTCTCAGCTTTCTTGTTATGCCTTCCATTACAACCCTGGCTCAGCCTCCAAGAACTCCAGGTTCCCCCAAAGAATAGAAAATCAGTGTGTTCATTGTGAGTATGCTACTTTCATTTAGTCTGTCCCCAAGATACACCTGGAAAAAATAGCCACAGGGACTCTCAGGTGGAGAGCTATAAGAATCTCTTTGGATGTTAATGTCTGTGTATTTCTCACCCTTAGCTTCAATAGTCTTGTTTGGAGCTGCATAAACATTTATGTCTTCAATATCTAAGTGTGGATCTTCTGTCTATGACATAGTGGCCATTGTAGTTTATCTTGAAGACTCTTATGTACGTAAGTTTGCATTTCCTCCCTTCTGGTGATGACTCAGGGTTGTATAGTATCTCTTAACCAATCCCTCCCAGAGTAATTGTAACTTGTTCTGTCCCCAAACAGCCATGATGGTGTCTAGTTAGCTGTGTGTTGTGTTCCTAGAGTTGTTAATGTGGTGATATGTGCCAACGGCCATGTGTAATCTGTAAGAAGTACCATGCCATCTGTGTTCCCAAGGCTAGCATGGTTTTACATTTATCTTCCTTAATGCCAAGATATCCTATTAGACACTTATTTCTATACAAAGCTCCTCAAATCAAAAGCCTTCAGACATTAAAGCCACTTGTGCATCTACCCTGAGCACCCTTCCAGTTATGGATAAGTTCAGTAAGACAAGGGATTTCTCTCCTCTGAAATATGCTCCTTCTTGGAGGTGAACCATTTCCCCAGCACCAACAGAGATAGATGGGAAGTCTTCGATGCATTTGTCATTTCTGAGTCACATGCATTGTCCTATTCTTGGCCCACTTAAACCTGTGCATATATGACAGAACAGATACTCATTATTTTTTAAAAAATTGGAGACAGTGAGGGGAATATTCATGCATGAAATTTTCTTAGCACATAAATTTTCTACCACATTTTAAAAAAATTCCAAAAGGTAGTTATGATATTTATTAGGCAAGGACATATGGCAAACATACAGCAAATAATATGAATGAAACATTTTATAGGTTTTTTCTATCAATTATTATTATTTTCAATGCATTATAGGCATTGAAATAGCTGGGCTAGCTGACGATGGTATTTTGTATGAGACTTAGCAAGTTTTGTGTCTTGCTCTTATGAAAGAGACTAACCATCTCCTGTTTTTCTTTTCACTGAATTTTGATTTGGGTTCTTGGAGAAAGGGACAGTATTGTAGGTTAAAATTCCATTCTGTTTCTTTTCCTTATGGGGTGTTCTGTTTCGTAGCTAATATTGTCTTGTAGTTGAGCAGTAGGTGGGGAAGGTTTTCATAGAGCTTGAGGATTCTTAAAACAGAGCTAGTAATGGAAAAGTTCAACCAACCAACAGTATTCCATAGTGACAAAAAGTGATGCAATAAGCCAGAGTGCCAGTGATGGTGTGGTAAAGGGGGATGGGGAGGGAGCATGTTTCCTCTTGTCTTCAGAACACAGAAAGGACTGAGACAGTTCTAGAGGTTGATAAACTTCAGAGTCACATTTTATCCCACGGACTCCTTTCCTGAGTCCCAGAGATGGAGAAGTCTGCATTAGAGGACCAGGAACAGCCTCCCAAGTTTCCAATCTTAAGTTTAGGCATCAGTGTCTATCATGTCTTTTAACTCCTTCACTTTTAACTGCACTTCCTGTTGCATCCCAGATCTGTATTCCTCCTGCTAGGATCACTGTCATATCCTCACAGAACTGAATTTAAAGTCTTAGAATATAGAGTAGTGACTTGCCACACATCCAAATAGCTCCCTGCTTTCTTATATTGTCCTCAAAGCCCAGGAGTACTGTTGAATGCCACAGCATTCCAATGAGAGCACAAATTACACTCCTACTGCCTCCTCAAAACTTTCTCTAGAAAATTCAGACATCATTTCTGCTATTAACCCCAAACAAAAAAAATTAAAATGAGGCTTTTAGAAGAGCCAATTATGTAATGGGAATGAATACATTTGTTTTAACACCAAGATATAAGTAAATCATTTGTAGTTAAGGGCTGTATGGTAAACATTTGTTTCTCCTCCACTAATTAACTGACTCTTACATGTGCTGATTCCAAAGAAGAAAATGAAATGGTCAATTTCCAAGTGAAAGGTAATCATGTGGACCTGTTTGGAGGTAATCCAAGTGAGTACCATTCTTTAGAAAACTAACAGCAGGAGTTGATGAGACCTGGACAGGAAGCCCTGGACTGTGCATCAGTTAGAGGGACCCTATGCTAAATCCAAGTTCTAAGCTCTTAGGCTCATGGATGCTAAGAAGCCAGCGTCCCTAAATCTAACTGCCTGGCCTTCCCCTGGAATAACTCAGGGCAGCCACCCATGGCCTCTCATCTCAGAAGTTTTGGTTGGTTTTCCCCATTTTGGAAAACACCAAACTGTTCTGCAGATGACAGTACTTGAATGCAAATATCCAGGCTTCCATATCCTACATAAGAGAAATTTCCAGGGCATGACCCAAACTCTGCCTAAGCTCAGTACTCTGGGGACTAGTCCTGTCACCCTTATACCTGTAGGTTTCATGCCACTTCAATGCTGCAAGAAGGCAAGTCCCCAGCAGACAATGACCTCAACAGTGGTGACTGCTCTGTCTCTGCACTATTGTAGCAAGCTAAATAGTGACTGCCATGCTCTGGGTTTCCCCCTCCCTGCCTCAAAGGATACTTGAGGAGACTTAATATTTAGCTTTCTGGAGGAAAAATTAGAATCCATTTCAGCAAAAACTGTCATATCAATTCACACTTATTTTCCAGGGAGAGAAAAAGAAAATTACACCTTGTTTACAAATGAAATAGTTTCATTTAACTGGGACTTTAGCCAAGGCAGTTAATTAGTCAAAAGATCCATGGTATCACACAGCTTCATGTTGTTTATTTTATTTGATGTGTCTACCGCCGATGTGTATCTAATATTCTGCATCCTTCTCAGGAAATGACAAATGCCCCGAATTCTTTGCAAATAGAATTGCTAATGAAAAAGAAAAGGAAAGTTGGTGTTAATTAAATGATGATTAAAAATTTATCTCCCTTAAACCTAAAAAGTGCAGCTTTAATAATTGCTTGTCATATAAATAAATACCTTGCACTGAAGTCCCTTGTGGTTTAAAACCTAAATAAATACTAACGTGAGAAACGGAAGTCTCTGTCAGAGGAGCTGCATATATACCCATTAGCGTGATGCAAATTCCTGTACTGTTTCTTTATGTGGAGCTGATATATGTGAAACCTCAAGAAAACCATAGTACCTGTTCCAAGATGAAGCTGGTTGGCACTAACCTTGACTAGAATAGGCTTAACTGGACCTCAAGAAATAAAGTTTAAGCAGGAGGAAGCCAAATTTATCAGTCAGTACTTAATAGTAATTCAAGGTCTAAAGAAAAGAGGCCTTCTTTCCAAAAGCATTATTCATTTACACTTGAGTCAAGATTTGGCCTGTCTGTGTTCCCTCCCTCTTCTTTTGGTTAAATAGGGTCAGAAACACTCACTGGGGGTTTATGGGTCTCTACTTGAAAAGTTTTTCCAATGCGGAGCTGCCATTTTTCAGTCAGCTATTTTCCTTTGTACTGTGTTCATGTCTAATTGTCTCTGATGAGGTCAGCTTGATACAGATCAGAGATGATCCAATGCACCTCTGTGAATACAGTTGCTCATGTACACATGTATATATTATACATGCTTGGTTTCTACACTTCATACTTAAGTGTATTATCCAAACAAACTTGTACATATTGTAAAGTTTATGTTAAAAATTAAATGGTGGTGATGGTGTGAACACACAGAAAACCCATTCTGATTATTTTGATAGGAGGGTATTTATGTAGAGAGGGCATTCTATTTTTTTAAATATCAGCTCTAGGAAGGATGACAGGGCTCAAGGGGCTTTGAGCATTGGTGTTCTTGGCCCCATAAAGAACAAAATTCTGGAGTGGGGAGTGTGCAATATATGCTGCTTACATCCACTTTTGAATATGATGCTGATGTGGACTTACATGAGACTTTTGTAAACCCATCAAAAGACATAGATTTTCTATTGAATTTCTTCTCTCTCTTGGCTCATTCTGTGCCTAGAAGCGCTGTGAGTATAGAAGCAGTGCAAAATGCCCATCTAGAAGGATCTTAGATGAAATGGATTTTGTGGAATGACACCAAGGGAAAAGGGGACAAGTGACAGGTGTCTAATGTAAAGTCAGAAGCTGTCTAATGTAAAATCAGAGCTGGGGCTGGAACCCAAGACTCTGTGGTCTGATTTATGGCTTGGTACCCTTTACCAAGCTGACATATCTCTAGATTTCTTTTAGGAAGACACTCCCTATGAGTCCCTCTGGAATATGAGCCAGAGAAACTCACAGGACACCCCTGGCTTTCTTTGCTTCTTGCTCTTTGAAAGTCCAAGCATGACTCTAAATTTGGTTTTTCTTTAAGCTCCTTTGCAATCCCTCACTTTCTCAGGGTTCTGAGGAAGACAGGATCTTTCTTCAGGGGTCTCTCCTCTCGAGAAAATCCACAAAGGGTATAGTTTAAAGCTTCAAACCAAAGATGAAGGCTAACAGCAACCAGGACTATGCTGTGCTGTTAAAACAAGGCACACCCATCAGGCCAGAGGACTAGACAAGGTGGCAGTTTCCTCTGAATGGGATGAAAAGTAGAATCTCTTCCCGTAGGTAGTTCATGGTTTAAAAAGTAAATTCCAAAACACAAAGGATAACCAAGGACTAGAAAACAAAACACAGATTAAACAATGAAAATTGAAAATAGATAATATGCTGTTATAAGAAGATTAAAGTAATTGATACTGTAATCAAATTTTTTAAAAAATTTCTTCCCTGGGTTTTAAGGAACTTTGGAGAATATAGTTGGTGTCACCGGAAATGGCCTTGATTTATTTGATGTATCCTGAGATGATGAGGGAGAAACATAGGAGCAGCTAAAAGAGTGAAAAACTCATTCTTCCATATTTTTTGCACACATACTTTTGGGTCTGGCTCCAACCAGCCCTGCATGGCTTACCAAACCATGCCTCAAATGCTTCAAAAGGGTTGAAAAATCCTTCAAAGGATTGGAAAAATAGACCATGGTGTAAAGAAGAAAGAGGAGATGTCCAGAAACCTTTCCCAGAAGGGTTGCTTATGGCCTGTAGAGGTTTTTGATAGCTCAGGGTGTGGGTAGGTCAGGGAGAGCGTAAGAGTGTGCTTGTGGAGTCCTAAGTGCCTACTGTTTCTGATGGCAAAAGAAATGTCAGGTTCCGTAGTGGAAAAAAAAAACAGGGCAAGGATGCGAAGAAAGGGAATCCAGGTGTGTTTCTGGAAGGATGGAGGCATGGAGAGGGTATGAAAGAAGGTGCGTTCACACTGTGTGTACCATTCTATGCATATGAGAATGTTATAGTTTCTGCTCATCACAAGTTTGCACCATGGATCAGCATCTGAATCTTGAGATGCCCAACTTTGTCTACACTGAATGAGTTTAACGTAGAAGTTAAGCATTATTGTTACCTTTTTGCAGATGAGGAAACTGAGGCTAAAGCTGTTCTAAGCCTCACTAGGAACATGGAGGTCAGGCTACAAGTGGAAAGAGATTTGCTAATTTGAGGCCCCCAGGTTTTTCCATAAGTACCCTACTCAGGTTTCCTAGTTTGAGGTATATCAAGAACTCATGGGGATCCCTCTTCTATTCACAGTCCCTTTCAAGACTGGAAAACTGCTCATGTCACAATTCCTCCCTGTGCTTGCACTCAGCATTAACTTTTTTGTTTTTGGATTTTTCTTTATTTTTTTTTTGCTTCGAAAAATTTCCTTCTCTACTTAGCATGTGCCTAACCTTAAATATCCCTTTCCCAAGCTCTTTTCTTCTTTCACAGTTGGCATCAGGGCTAGTACCATTAAACATGTGTACATAGTATGCTTCCACAGGTGTGTGGACACAGTCACACACATACATGCACACACTGCCTTGTGGTCCTCAATCAAAGCTCTCTTAAACACCGTGACCCCTTTCTAAGCAGAATGCTATTTGCTGACTTGCTGATCCTCCTGTTCATCTGTGTTGGTTTATCTTTGCCAGGCAGACAGAATGAGGTTCAGTGATAGGGCAGGGAATGGGGAATAGTTTTACAATAATGACTGAGTGCTTTAGTCATCAGGGTGATTGAGGGCCAGCTATTAAATGCTGTTGTTGTTGTTGTTTTTCTTGGTCTGTTTCATTTGTTAAATTGCCTTAGAGATGCACTCCTGGTCATTAGTATCAGGATAATTGTTGATGCACCAACACTTGTTAATATCCCAAGGAAGAGTATTGAATTGGGATGTTTCCACAGCACTTTATAGGAGTGGCATTGTGTCCAATATGTCACGCAGGCGATGCTCCTGAGCACACAGGTGCCATCTGTGTATCCCCTCACACCCATCTTCTAGACCACATTTCTTTTCTGGCATTTATATTTACAGTGAGGTGGTGCACACCATTTTATAGATGAGAAGACTGAGCTGGGATCAGAAGGAAAGTTGCTTTGGAAGGCTTCGGAGTTTCATTTTCATAAAAATGCAATCATTGCTCCAAGTGCTTCTTAGGAGTCTTTGAACACAGTATAGATGCCCTAAGCTTGATTCCTGAGAATAATTCTCCAGTTGTCGTAATCCTTCAGACAGTCAAATGTCTCTCAATATAGAGGTTGCTGGGGCTAAGGATACAGCCCAATTAGTGGAGTGTCTGCACAGCACACGTAAGGCCTGGGTTCCATGCCCAGCACTTTGAGCATAAATTGGGTGTGGTGGCACATGGCTGTGAACCCAACACTCAGGAGGATCATGAGTTTAAGGTTATACCCAGGCTACACAATAAATTGGAGGCCAACCTGGGCTACAAGAGACCCTGTGTCAAAAATGAAAACAAAAACACGTAGGTTATTATTATTTAATAGCTATTCTGAGACTGTGTGCTTTTGCAAGAGACAAGGAGACTCCTAGGGATGTTGCACTCTGCAGAAAGTTGAGTGCCTCAAACAACAGGGCTGAGAGCTCTGCCTCTTTGGAGCTGTATTTCAAAGCATACAATTCCCCAGTGAACCACAACCAAACTATTTAAGATGGAATCATTCCTCAGATTCACTTCACAAATAAGGCATCAGTGAAGTTCAGGAAGGAACAAGACAGAAGCAATCATCATTCACCAATGCTGCTTAGGTACCATATCAGCAAATCAGCGAGTCTGCATTTTTACAATTCCAAGACATTCCTCATTATCAGTAGCCCTGGGTCATAACCTCTTCCAGTTAATTCTCTTTCACACTTTTGGGAAGGATTTAAAAACCTTCGAAAGGATATTAGCATAACACATAGCCAATACCACAGATGCCTTTTAAATTAATAAGGTTAATTGTTCTCCCGCTAGCATAAGTTTGTCTTTGGCATTTTCAGTATTTCTTATTGATCTGACATTTTGCTGTTTCAAGCTTTTAAAGGGCTCAATTCAAAGACTATTGATAACTGAGCAAATAATGAAGGTCTAGAAATAAAATAATGAATTGTCTGTTTTTCCATGAGAAACAATCACAGCCCTTTGAATTCATTAGAGGTTTTTACATTAAGCATGTATGATATATTGAATTGTTTCTCTTCCAGGTCAGGCTAATTCACATGAAGAAATGGTATTGACTTTTAAAACTCATTTTACTTTTAAACATCTTAAATGTACTAAGTTTGTAGACACAGCTCTGGGGCCATGACCATTAGGAAAATATTCAATGCCAAAAGGAGAAGACTTAAACATGATTTTGTGGCAAATGTGAACAATCTTCTTTGAAAATTGATGGATTTGGAAACATCAAACTGACATTTCTAATATTCATGTTACTCTGAAAGTTTACATTGGAAATGATGTAAGTGAACATTATTTTTCAAGAAAGATATTAAGTCAGGGATATGTAGGAAACATGGTCATTGAAAACACAAATAATCACGAAATAAATGTGGGTCAGATGCTTTCCCAGCCTGAGGGTCCCCAACGACGTTTGTTTTTATGGTTGTTTTCAAAGTCTGAATGCTAATCTTGTTCATTCCCCTGGTAAAAGATATTTAAGAGCATATCCTTGCCAGATTAATTGGTAGAATCCATCATAGTTTATATTACACTAGAATGTTTGCATATGTGTACGTATATATTTCAAGCAGAATATCAGAAAGAATTAGGTGAGTTAATTGGTGACTTGAATAAGAAATTGGTCATAAAAATCATAAATAATGACCTTCTCACACAGTAAAAGAGGGTAAACTATTCATTCTCCAGCCATGCTGTAAGACTTGCATAATGTACAAGCTACCCATTGCCCACAGGAGAGTTATTGAATTAAACAGCTTATCCATGAATGGTTTATGTATGAGTCTGTCTTTAGCCCAGTATGTAATGGGATTGAACTCATATGCAGAGGGTTTCCATTCACAGCTACATGAAACACCGTCTATAACTCACATCAGGACTGGCTTGATGTCTTGTATGGTGGAGCTCAAAGATAGCTGTGTGCTCCACTCAGTGGTCTTCATTTGGGAGTAGATCTTCACCTACCAGTCACAGCAGTTTATACCTGTCATGTTCTGATCCACTGCATGAGGAAGTGCTAATAACTGTATTAAATATTTCCAAGCATAGCTACAAAATTACACGTTTGCTTAACACCTTTCTATGATAGAGGAAGTATATACTATGGTTGTCTTCTTGTAGTATGTCTTTTTAATTTTGTTCAATGTGTTATCAACTGTTTTAAGGAATGGGATTTGACATGTGTGTGCAAACTGATATGTACATAACTCTTGGGCAATGAAAGTGCCCATCGTACAATGTAAAAATGTAAATACAGGAAATTTCATTTTTCTAATAAAGATAATTTCTGCCAATTGATATGAAAATGAGAAATGGATCTGTGGTCTTTGCTGTTCTCTTGCTGCTGCTGTGTAGGCCTTGCTAAAGGTCTCCATGAGCGTAGGACTTGCTCAGAAAAAATAACACTGTATATTATGGCTAGTAGGGACCAATGATCAGGCCATAGCAAGGCCTCAGCTCTATGGTACTGTGTTATACCTCTCCAATTTGGCTGGGAGTTAGGGGTTTTTGTTTGAGATTTTTGACCTCTCTTTCTCTGTCTCTTTCTCTCTGTCTCTTTCTTTCTCCTCTTTGTCTGTCTGTCTGTCTGTCTCTCTCTCTCTCTCTCTCTCTCTCTCTCACACACACACACACACACAGATTAGGTATGTTGGTATCTTACTAGTCCTCTTCCCTACCACATACTTAATCTTATTTGCTTTTGGCAGTGAGGGAGAGAAGATCAAATCATGGAATTGAGGGAACCTTCAAGATTTCAGTTGAAAGCTTTGCCTTTATCCTTTGCCCATATCCTGTCTTCCTGGACATCTCCCACACTGACAGCCTTGGCTGTGATGTTGATCTCTAACCAACAACCACTTCCTTACACAACCATGTGTGGAATTCTCACCCTCATTGCTATTGCTCTATACAAGGTCAGACACAGATCATCCATAGCCCTATCCTTTGGCTCAGGAAGAATGAACAGAGCTGCTCATTTGAAGTTGCCAGTTAGAGCACTGTTCTTATTTGAAATGGCCAGTCAGAGCATGGTACTTCCCCATTCATCCCAGGAAACAGCTCTGCTCCAACTGATTCTCTGGCCAGATGCCCAGTGGTTATCCCTTTACTCCATCTCCCTTTACATACCACCCATCAGGCAGGTGTGTCTGCATGATTCTTAAGCTATACCCGGGATCTGTCTACTTTTTATCACCTCTACCACTGCTGCTCAGTCCTTCGGTGACCATTTATCCGACTGTGAAACTGTTCTAATCCTTCCACTTGCTTCTGCTATTGCCTCCATCATGACCTATTCTCTAGCAGAGAACAGATCACCTCGGCAAGACACGAATTAGATATGACTCACTCTACTCTGGCCTCAAGTATCTGTCCAGAAAAATCAGAATGAAATCTAAATCCTTCCCCCATGGTGTCAAGGTGCTAATTGGTCTGCCTTTTCCCACCTCATGTACAGGCAATCTGCACTGCGCTCCTCAGTATCCAGCTGGATGAATTCTCCTTTCAAACACAAGCCACTCCAAGCTTTCGCCTCTCCAGTTAACTCCCTCTTTAGATCGTTGCATGACCTCATCCTTGCCATATTTAGGGTTCTGCTTAAATGACACCCCCAAGTGAGGCACTCTAAGGGCACAGTCCCTCAGATAGAACCTCCTGCATCACTTTATCTGCTTTCTTGACCCCTTCAGGTCCTTGAAGAACTTTCTTCTGAAGAAATTTCAGATTGTGTTTACTATTAGTTTTTTATCACAGCTTTATGTTTGTTTATTTATTATCTGCACAGACTTGTTCTTCATTCATTCATTGCCCATTTACTAGCATGTAAAACAGTGTGATGTCTGCTACATGGCAGGTACCCAGTAATGTGTCAAATATCACTATCTCTGTGTTTAGGAGCATCATAGCTTCAAAGAAGTGGATAGGACCTGGGATGCAGCTCAGTGGAAAAACATATGCTTGACATGCTCAAGGCACTGGGTTCAATCCCCAGCACCCCCCAAAAAAGCAAAAATAGTTACAAGAAATGGGTCGGGCTTTTTTAGAATTCATTTATTTTTCTTTTTTAATTTATTTTTACATTCCAATTCCAGTTTCCCTGCCTCCTCTCCTCCTGCTTTCCCCATCCCCCACTTCCCATCTGCTACTCAGAGAGGGTAAGGCCTCCCCTAGGAAGTCTACTAAATCTGTCCCATCACCTAGTTGAGACAGGACCAAGGCACCTCTCCACGACCCCCACACCCTTGTGTCTAGGTTGAGCAAGTTATCTTTCCATAGAGAATGGGTGAAATGGATGGTTTTATAGAGTTTATGGTAGAAGATGCCTAGCATCTTAAACCTTTCTTGTGTTTCTGACCAAGACCTTAATGGCCTCTCTGTTCTTTCTTGCCTTGTTTGCAAACAATGATGGGAGAAAGATAATATCTTACTCAGGCACAGTTAACACTGTGCCTTGTTAGTTAACACTGTTGAAATGGGTAAAAAGTCGAAATTTCTTGAGCATGACTCTGAGATACCTTCATAAATTCATGTTAATAAACCCATTGAGCCATAGGAAAGTTCAGAACTTAGTCTCCTTATGATACATCACACTCTGAACCACAACATGAATGTATGTAACCCAAGACCCATTTTTTCAACACTGTCATGAGGCACGGATATTGTGAGCAAGAGAACTCTCCTTCAGTCCTCAAACAATTAAATCCACAGAAAGTGAAGAACCATTGACCTCAGAAGAGCACAAAAGAAACTAACAGTTTTGTCTAGTTTTTGCTTTATAAGATGCTATGGCAAGCAGCTGGGGTGGGGATTATGTGAGTGTGTGTATATTTGCAGTTGCAGATCAGGGGATGTTTGTGTATATGTCTGTGAGGGTGGACACCAGAGAACTACTTGACTGCCATTCTCATGCATCATCACCTTGGGGTTTTGGAATTGGTTTTGGTTTCCCACTGGCCTGGAGCTCACCACATAGGCTAGGCTAGCTAGCCAGAGAGCTCTGGAGTCTTCCTGTTTTTACCTCCCTGGATTTGGGATTACAAATACCAATTATCACACTCCACATTTTTATAAATGGGGGTTCTGATAGTATAACTCAGTTTACAAGACCAGTCCTTACCTCCTAATGCTATTATTTATTTGACTGGTGTAGAGATAGGGGCTTACAGACATAAGCAACTCAATCCAAGACCCATGATGCACTGGTACATGGTACAGGAAGGGATCTGCAGACCTGATACTCTACACCAAGAACTTATTTTGTAAGTTTCTTGTTTTTTCATTTTTTTAGAAACACTCTTATTTACATATCTGTCCCCCCATTCCCTCGCCCTCCCATCCTCCCATACTTCCCACCCACACCTCAACCCACCCACCACCCACTTCCCAGGGATAGTGAAACCCTTCATAGGGGGATCATCAAAGTCCATCACATCATTTGGGGGACAGCCCAGGCCCTCCTCTCAGTATCTGGCCTGCAAAAGTATCCCTCCATTGGGAATGGGCTCCCCAAGCCCATTTGTGGCCTAGGAATAAACCCTGGCTCCACTGTTAGAGGTCTCATAGACTGCCTGGCCTCCTAGCTGGTACCCACATTCAGAGGGCTTAGTTCAATTCAATGCTGGTTTCCCACCTTTGCAACTAGGGTCTGCATGCTCTCATTAGATCAGGTCAACTGTTTCTGCAGGTATCTCCAATTCTGTCTTGATTAATTTGGTCATCTCTCCTCCTCCTCCGCAACTGGATTCCAGGAGTGTGGCCCAGTGTTTATCTGTGGGTGCCTGCTTCTGCTTAGATCAACTACTGGGTCAAGGCTCTAGGAATGGTAATCATTGTAGTCATTAATCTCATTATAGGGGAAGGGCATCAAAGGTAGCCTCTCTACCACTGCCTAGATTTTTAGTTGGGGTTATCCTTGTGGATCTCCATTTCCTCTCAGTCAGACCTCTCTCCAAACATATAGTGGCTCCCTTTATCAAGGCATCTCCTTTCTTGCCCTCTTCTATTCCTCCCCTGTCTCAGTTCTCCTCCCCCTTCTCTTCTTTCCATCTCCCTCCTCTGTCCCCTGTGCTCCCAGTTTGCTGGGGGGGGGTTCTTGTCCCCCTTCCCTTATATGACTTTTTGGCATAGAGAAAAGGATTACAAGCCTGCAATCCCACACCACCAGAAGAGCTAGAATACAAGGGGGACACCAAGAACTTTTGTGACACAGAAATATTTTCCTTTTCTGTTGCACCATCCTCTGTCTTCTGAGCCATACCTTCCCTGACCCAGCCTTTCCTTTGGAGCAGGAGAAAATGGGCTATTTCCAACACATTTTCCATTAACTGAAGTGGCACTAAATGCCATCACTGCTATGAAACTAATTGGCATTTTGTGGGTTGCCTTTACATCCATGTAGCCCTATTTAAGGGTATAATTATTTCCTAATGAGGAAACGATTTATACTTAGTACTGGGGAGACACTTGCTTCTGCCAGTGACATTGCACTCTGGAATGGCTCACTTCTTTTCTTTTCCCCCAAGATTCTACTGGCTGAAGCCAAATGAACAGGCAGCCGCTAAACTTAATTAACAGGCAGTTTAGGTCCTGCAAGAAGGAAAGGCTCTCACTTGCCAGTCAAATATGCAGTAAGTCTGCCAATAAAGCCATTTTTTCTTCGAGAACCCTAGAATTATTCTGCTAGGAACAGATTAATTGGGGTCCTTTATCTTCTTTTCTGAGAGTTCTAACAAAATTTGTCAAAGTTCACTAAATTAACCTATTTTTATAAGATAGCCTCTGGCCAACCCTTAGAACATCTCCTGTTCACAGAAAGTATAACCCTTGTTTTCATGTAAGGAAACTAAGGCTTGGAGAAGAGAAGTGACACCTTTGAGACAATGGAACCAGGATATTGCGGTACCCATGTAGTCAGAATGGCTCCTGTTCTTACATGTGCACTGTCATGCAGTCATGTCTGTCTCTGAGTCCAAAGACCTCCAACTGTTAATTCTTAGACAACAGATGAGTGGGCATGGGGAGATGACTTAGTTGGGCTTGCTGCAAAAGCATGAGGACATGAGTTCACGTCTCTAACACCTAAATAAAAGCTAGGCACTGTGGCATGCATGCACCTATAACCCCAGCACTGGAGGGCAGAGACAAGAGTGATCCCTGGGGCTCATAGGCTACCCAGTTTAGCCAGATTCATTGAGAGACTCCATCTCAAACTAAGATAGAAAGCCGTAGAAGAAGGTTGCAAATATGAACCCCTGGCTTCCATGGATGAACATACCTGAACATATATGTGTCCCCATTTA